TTGGCTCCAATGAGGGCTGGTTTTGTCAGATTTTAGTAATCTGTGTGAACAATAACATCTGAGGAAAGGGATTATGCTCTTTGTTGGCTTCCAGGAACCCGTCCTGTTTTTCCTTCAAATGGGAAATGAGGAAGGCAAAACATCTGGACCTCTCGAGAAGAAAAAGGAACCTTGGGATCCGCTCTCCTGTGTCCCCCTCTTCTTTTCCCCAAGATGACTGGGACCTGGGGGGTGGGGGCGGGGGCAGTGGGAGATGCAGATTGATCAGAAGCTCAAGTGTTGAGATCCCTAAGCCCTAAACACCTGCATCCTAATTTGAAAGAGAGTTGGAACAATGCAAAAGGGATATTTGAAAAAAACTCCCTTTTCTCCCTGGAGATCCAGATGAAGACTCAAAATTGTTCCCGCTAAGGAAGGTTCCTTTGGGGCAGGGAGATATTGACTTTGTTAATACCCCACTTACTAGTACTGAAGTAAAACGTTTCCAAAAATAAAAATAAAATTAAGCTCATTATTAAATGATCCTTTAGGATTAGCTGATCAAGTTAATCAGTTTCTCAAACCTAAAATATATATCTGGGTAGAACTGATGTCTATTATGAACATTCTATTCACTGGTGAAGAAAGGGGAATGATTTGAAGGGCTTCTATGTCTATCTGGGAATGGGAACGTCCCCCAGGCCCGGGAGTACAACCAGCCAGACAGAAATATCCAAACACAGACACCAGATGGGATAATAATAATAATCCAAGAGATAAAGTTAAAATGCAAGATTTAAGAAAATTAACAATTAAAGGGATCACTAATAGAGTAACTATCTTTAAAAATGGTAGCTCAACAATACCTTTCTGAACCATAAACACATAGCAATGAGAATGCAAAATGTAGCCAGTGTGCATTAATACCAATAGGAGATTACCTTGTCAAGGAACCTCTGACTACAGAAGTCAGAACAACAATTTTTTGTTGTACAGTTTATATTACATATTCTTACACCAACAAGGTTTCCCTATTATCAATTTCATTGATCACAAGTTGAAACCAAATGTATATTTACTTTGTTAGAACAAGATGTGTTCTTCTGTCTGCTGGATAATTGTCAAACAAACAGTAATTTCATTAGAATAAGTTAGATTTTTGCAAGTTGCAGGAGACACAAACATGGAATAGTCATAGTTTTGGTCTTGAAGGTGCTCATAACAGAATAAAGCTATCCCTATATAGTTTCTGTGTTTTTAAAGAATAATTATAAAAGAAAACATTTTTATTCATTTATTTGCTTGTCTGCTTAACACATAACTATCAGGTATCCTTTAGGTACTAAGCATTTTTTCTAATGTTAGAGTGCAACATTTAAAAGTTACAGTCAGGCACTTGTCATTATCACTGTCATTTTTATTATTTACTCACTTATTCAGTGCTTACTGTGTTCCAGATGCCTTTTAGTAGTTTATACTGGGTATTTATTATGTATTCCTTATGCTCACTGTGTGCCAGACACTTGAAGTCTATGAGGAAGAATGAAAGCCTTGAGAAAGTGATTAAGAATTAAGGTTAAACATGTTGAGTGAGTAGAAGTTTGCCAGGTAAAGAGACAGAAGGGTGATACTTAATAGAGGAAACATGTACGAAGATAGCAGTTTTAGCAGAAGGAAGATCAGAAAAGAATCAAAGCGTTGCAGAATGAGTTGGTCAGAAAATGTCATGGGCTGAAGGAAAAATGTCTAAGAAGACTACATGTTTGGCAGCAGGAACAGCATATGCCAAAGGTAAGACACTTGCGTGAACTTTGCAGGACTTATGAGCAGTTAAATTTTGCTACTGCAAAAAAAAAAAACAAAACGTGGTATGGGAGGGGTTGGGATGAAATAAATATCTAGCTAAAGCAAGCTTAGGAAAGACTGTTTAATAGCATAGCAATGAGTAAGTCTTATCTTGTTGGCCATGGGAAAATTCTCAGGGAGAATGTTTTTGGCTGCACATACCACATGACCTCACTAACGGGCTAAAACGGTAGGAACCAGAGTTGCCTTTGTGGTTCAGTGATATCAGACTCGCTTGTCAGCTGTGCTTTTGGCAGTGTTTTGTTCTTCTCCTTTGATGGTTGGTTCTTTAGCCACAGCCCCAAGCATCATGGTCTCACAAGGCAATATCTAAAAGCTGGAAGGGCTTCTTTTCTTCAGGTGTTTTCTTTAAAGAGGGGGACAACTGAGAAGCTTGCAGGAGACTTCCTGTAACATTTTATTGGCTGGGTTACACTACATGCTCATTCCCAAACCGGTCACTGAGAAAGAAAATGTAATTACTGTGATGAGCATAGAGTCATTTCTTGTTTTGGATCTGAGGAGGGTTGCTGGGATGATAACCTCCCCAATAGAACCGTGTTTCTCCAGAAAGAAAGAACGAGGACTGGCTATTGGAGTGGGAGCCGGCAGTGTTTACTTCATGTGATTGGTTGGAAAATTTTGAGCAGGGGAGTCACCAGATTAGATTTGAGTATTAGGATATTCTGGTTATGGTATAAGGCAGACATTGCAAGTTTCTTCGGCAAAGGGCCAGGTGGTGAATATTTTAGGCCTTGTGGACTTGGGCATCTCAATTCCATCCTTTCATTGAGGTAGGAAAGCAGTTATAAACAGTATGTAAGTGAATGGGCCGTAAGATGGATGTGGCCTGTGGCCTGTGATTTGCTGACTCCTCATGCAGGGCATAGCTGGAAGGGAATCGTGTAAAGAGACTGGGAGAAAAAGGATCTTTTGCCATAGCCAAAGCCTTAGTTTGACCAATCCTTATACTAATATCAATCTGTGATTAGGTTTGTATTCATTCATGGTGAAATAAATAAAATTAATATGTGTTTATTAATACATGAATATTTATTAATACATTAAAATAAAATTACGAAGATCAGTTTATTAGTTTGCTAAAAAAGTGTTTTCATTTAAGAAATAATGACAGTTGGTGGGTGTTCGTTCCATCCCCACCAGTGAAAGCCATCAGTTAAGAGTCCATGTTTAACAAAGAAATATAAATGCAAGATAAATATATTTCTGGATACAAGCCTATTTATTTTAATTTTAATTTTCAGCGACGGTGGAAATATAAAGCAGAGGCAGGCAAAAGGTCTAGTTAATATGATTTAGTGATTAATAAATGTAAAACGTTAGGGGGCTGAGAGAAGTCTCAGCAGATTCCTCTCTCCTGGTTTCCTGTTGTGCCCTATCATTTAAACTGGGCATGAACAAGAAGTAGGAAATTGTCAGGCAAACAGAGAAGAGCAGCACGTCAGCAGAAGACTAACGTGTTTTCAGTGCATGTTGAGTTTCACGAAATGTTCACATAGAACATTTTCAGTCACTGGGTAATAGGCATTTCTAGCTATTTATAGAACTCTGAGGTTGTATATGTAGAGTTGGAACGATCTCAGTGTAATCGTTAGGCACAGACATAGATCTGAATAAGCTTATCCAGGATGGGAAAAGCTTAGAAGTAGAAAAGGCCAGTGACAATGCACTTGGATTATCAACATTTCCCAGAGGAAAAAAGAATGAGTAAAGAAATGGAGCAATGGCTAAGGACAAGTAGGAGAGGAATCAGACAAAGTGATGTTGCAAAAATAAAAACAATGTGAGGATTTCAAGGAGTGAGTGTCAGTTCAAACAAGTTAGTGTACTAAAGAGTAAATTGTGCTTAACTCTTAAGACTTCTTTCGTGGTACTAATTCCAAAACACTTTTAGAGGTTAAATTTAACTGTTGATTTGATTGGAACTTCTGGTGTCCAAATATGGATGAATACACCTACTTTGATTCTGCCTGAATTTTTGGTAGCTACAGCAAGCACCTACACAGGGTCAGGGAAAATAGTCTAGCCTGTTGTGTCCATGTGCTAACATTTCTCCAGGACCACCAAAATCTAAGGCTCACATGCGAGGAAAGATCTTGCCTTTCTTGCCTACTTCTTGTGGAAATACTTGTTTTGCAGTCAAGTTCTTGAAAAGCTCTTGTAGATGCATTCTGAGACAAAAATCTGGCAGCAACAACCGGAAGCTGCTGTCAGACGTATGTGTTTCCGCATGACTCTGTTATGGACTCATAACAGAGTTATGTTTTGACAGTTTCAAGTTTGATCAGGATTAGTGTACAGACATGCAGTTTGGAGAAAATGACATGTTTCAATTTTTTTTCCAGGAAACTAATATAATATCACAATGAAAGATATAAAATGATATGCTGAATATAGTAGTTCTTAGTATTCTGGGAGTTCTGGTGACATCCGTAGAAAAGTCTGTACCTTAATCCATGTTGGTGCAATTCTCTTCTCATTTACCTTCTTTGATAATTGTACTTTGATCACTTCCCTTTGAATTTCATACCTAAAAGAAATAACTGTTAAAACACATTTATAACATAGGTATGCTTGACAAAGTGTATGCTTCTTTTTAAGCGAACTGGCTACCTCTCCTGGGGTATATTTGGTATTCTCTTAGTAGATCCTAGAGCTAAACTTCTTCATATCAATGTCATCATGAGTGGCACTGATTATGGTCTGCCAAGATTTTCAGTGTCTTCTTGATAGTCAACTAAAAATTGCTTTATCTGATGTAGTGTAAATGTGAATCACTTTTCTGCTATTATATTTCTTTCAAAATTGGTTGTCTATGACTTTACTAGGATATGTGATCAATTGGATTTCCACACTTTAAGCAATCTATGTATAAGATAACTCCACAGATATTGAATCCACTCCTGGAGGAGAGATGAATAAATCCTTCTACATTTTGGTTGCAATTCTGTTGACTTTACAAACTTTCTGTCAAGAACTGTCTATAATAGGTGAACCATGTTATAAGAAATTAAGAAAAAGATCAGAAGCAAATAAAAGCAACCCTATAATCATTAATATAGTTGTGTGCTATATTTTGTGTCTGTGTGTTTTTCAGTAATCATCTTGGTTTCTTGAAGGATGAAAACTTGTTTGATTAATTATCATTTTTTAAGGATGAGGCATCACTGTTGCCCAGGCTGGAGTGCAGTGGCTATTCATAGGCATGATCATGGTGCGCTGCAGCTTTCAACTCCTGACCTCAAGTGATTCTCTCACCTCCCAAGGAGCTGGGAATACAGGTGAGTGCCATCACATCCAACCTGATGCACAATTATTAGAGAAAAAGGAATTAATCCCTCCTGAGTTGGAAAAAATTGACTGTGATTTTGTAATTTTCTTTCTAGAAACTTGTACACTATTGATCATATTGTCAATCATCAAGATTCCCTATATTTTATTCTAGTTAAAATAGTATTGTTGCTTATTTCACTTTGTTTTCTAACATCATTGTTTCATCTATTACTATTATGTCTTTATTCAAGTGGACATAGTAATACAGAAATCTCCTAAGCACATATCAAGAAAAACAGATTAGGCTGGGCTCGGTGGCTCAGCCTGTAATCCCAGCACTCTGGGAGGCCGAGGTGAGTGGATTACCTGAGCCCGTGGGCTTGAGACCTGCCTGGGCAACTTGGCGAGACCTCATCTCTACAATAAATAAAAAATTAACTGGTGTGGTAGCACGCCTGTAGTTCCAGCTACGAAGGCTGAGGTGGAAGGATTGCCGGAGCCCAGCAGGTCGAGGCTGCGGTGGCTGGGAGTGGCCACTGCACTCCAGTCTAGGTGACAGAGTGAGACTCCAACTCAAAAAAAAAAAAAGAAAAAAAGAAAAAAAAGAAGAAAAACAGATTAGAGTAAGGTATTCTGGAAAGTAGTCTTCTAATTGTAGTCATATATCACAGATTAACTAGAATAATAACTAAAGGAAATCATACAATGCAACTGTGTCAGGGGTTCCCAAGACAACCTCTGCCTTGGTGATTCACTAGAAGGCCTCACAGTACTCAGCAAATAATAGTACTTAGAGCTTTTCTTTATTACAGTGGAAAGACACAAAGCAAAATCAGCAAAGGCAAAAGGTGCATGTGGTGAAGTCTGGAGGAAACCAGGCACAAACTTCTGAGAGTCATCTCCTGTAGAGTTTTTAAGATGTGCTTAATTTCCCCTGCATCAAAATTTGACAGCCCACAGGCAGTGCTATCTACCAGTACCAGAGTCTCATTAGAGACTCACTCAGAACCCAAATTTGGAATGGAGATGAGTCACATAGGCATAGGCATCTGTACCAAAATTCCAGAAACCCGGAAGGGAAGCAGCTGTTCAGAGTAAATCCCATTTCTTGTACAAACATTATAGGCATAGTAAGCCATGCTTCACAGTTAGGAAATTCCAATTCCAAGTTCCCAGATGCCAGCCAAAGACCAGCATTTGCAAGCAGGTCTTTCTAAAATGGCAGTCTCATGCCTGCTATGTGAAATATTTTCTGTACAACAATTATAGCCCTTATTTCATTTTTGGTGTTGTCTTAAAATTTTGTTTTGATAGCAAATAATTTAATAATATAACAAAACATGGTGCTTGTTTTAGTTGCATCATTCATATTAAGTTGCAGTGCTGGATAATTTTTGACTTTTGATGAATACTTAACAGGTATGTGCACCTATATTGCTATGGCAACATTAGGCAATTGTAATCTGTTCTTTTCTGATTAGCCTTTTAGAAAAGTCATGAGATAAGATAAGCATAATGATTATTGATTTAAAATTAGGATAAAGATTGTTCTTTATTTTAATTATATAGCTGACCCAGCTGATTCATGTTGTGTTAAATCCATGTTTATAATTATTAAATAGGATAGAATGTTCAATCATTTTTGTTGTTTATTTTCTTTCCTAAGTATGTAACTAAATTATTTGCTTTATGCATTTTCTTATGTGTTAATTTGTGTGGTAATGCCCAGATTCTGTTACTTTTATTTCAGTCATCTTTAATTTCAAGGCAACTGTGTCTTGCTCTAATATATGGTAATAGCAGGCTCAGTAAATATCTTTAAAAAAATATTAAGTTCATTTTTTAGAGCAGTTTTTGGTTCACACCCAATTGAGAGGAAGGTACAGAGCTTTTCTGTTTACCTCATGACTCCCACATGGGCATAACTTCTTCCATTTTCAGTATCTTCCACCAGTATGGTCCATTTGTTGCAAATGCTGAACCTACATGGACAAATCACTCAAAGTTCATAGTTTATATTAGGGTTTCAATGTGAGTGTTGTACTTTCTATGGGGTCGGATAAATGTATAATGACATGAGTCTGCCACTGTAGTATCATATACTCAATAGACTCACTGCCTTATAAATCCTCTATGCTCTGTCTTTTCAACCCTGTCTCCCCACTAAGTCTTGGCAACCAGTGATTTTTTAGTTGTCTTTATAGTTTTGCTTTTTCCAGAAGAGTCATTTAGTTGGAATAATACAGAGAAAACCTTTTGGACTATTAAAAAAGTTAAAGCTTCAAGGTAATTTAATGAAGATATTTAAGATGTTCTTTGTCCATGCTTTTGATTTTTCATTTTCTTTGTGTGCATCAGTGAAGAATCTGGTGACATATGCTTTACATATTGAATACTTACCTTGCATCATACTTACCTTGCAATGGAGAAAATACAAGATGATCTGTAGATAATAAATATGTTCCTCATGGATACTCTTCCTTTGGGGATGAGTTTGAAAACCGTCTATTTTATTATGACATGGCTCACTTACAATTAGATTCTCTGTCATGAGAAATGACGAGAGAGTCATATTGTTTGGCTTCACAGGAAGTGAAAGATAATTTGTTTTCTCCCTTCCGCTTGGCACATCCTGGTAGCTTGAGTGTGTTGATAGTGTTTTATATGTATTCGTGTGTGTATTTTGTATCAGAAAGTACTTCCTTGCAACTTGATATACCTAGCCAGTGTTCCTTCTTAAGCTTCTCTCTGAATTTGAGGTCTTGTACAGAGTTGGATAAGCACTTAAGGGAGTGATCTTTCCATGGGTGCTAAAATGACAGGTAAATTTGAGCCTTGTCTACACCATGTGGTGTAATAGCTAGAACTAATAAAACTACCAGTGACTTTCCTAGAAGAAGACTGGCAAAAGTAATTACATGTATACCTCTTGAGCTCTTCTCCACTGGCAGATGGAAAGTCTTTGCGAGGGTCCTTGTCCCGGGTTTGTTTCCTAGGCTTTGCCATGCTTCAAGGTACAGTTCCTATAGACCTAGCTTCCTTGTGATAGGGTGTTTTTATCCTAAACCGAACAGTTTCAACTGAAGATCTGGAGAAGTTGGGTTGTGCAACAATAAAATAAGTACAATTTTGCCCCCTTAACTGTGGGGTACACATTTTAAGACACCCAGCGAATGCCTGAAACTTCAGATAGTATGAACACTATATATACAATGTTTTTTCTTGTACATACATATCTATAATAACATTCAATGTGTAAATTAGGCACACTTTGAGGTTAACAGTGACAACTAATAATAAATGAGAACAATTACAGCAATACACTATAATAAAATTTATGTGAATGTGGTCTCTCAGAATATTTTCTTGTACTGTATTAACCCATTTTCTTGTGATGATGTGAGGTGATACAATGCCAAAATGGTGAGATGGAGTGAGGTAAATGAGGTAGACATTGTGATGTGGCGTTGACTACTACTGACCTTGTGATGATATACTGGAAAGAAGATCATCTGCCCTGGGCAATTTTTGTTCACCAAGCCACAATGATATTAATGACTGGGTATCAGGAGCAGACCATGGCAGATGGCAATACAGTGTGGATACACTGGACAAAGATGATTTATGTCTTTAGGTGGGATGGAGCAGGATGGCTGGAGATTTCCTCACGCTCCTCGAATTGGCACACTATTTAAAGCTTCTGAATTATTTCTGCAGTTGCCCATCTAATATTTTTGGGCCATGGATAACTGAATCCCTGAAATCAAAACTGTGGATGTTATATTGTTAAAGACAGTTTTGGTTGTCAACTCCTGTTTCCGGGCATACAAATTCAAAAATCCTTAGGATATCAAAGTGCCATCTTTGTGTATGCTAATGATTGACTGATGGCTGGCAGCCCTTAGTTATCTTTAGGATAATAGCTGGTCACTAGATTGACCAAGGCATGATAGAGGACTTCCAGGCCCACCTTCCAGTTTCCTAGGAGGAAAGAGGGGTTAAGGTGAAGTTGACTACCATTGGCTACCCTGGACCACGTTGAGTAATCTTTTTGCTTTGGGCCACATCAAGAAAGGAGGGACTGTCTGGAACCACACATAAATGATATAATACAGTTAGTGTATCTGCATAATAGGACTGATTTTATTTTTAATATTTTTATTAGAACATTGGGAAAAATGAAAACAACATAAAACTAGTGGGAAATTTTACCTTGTTTTTTGTAAAACCAAGGTGCTTGTCAGAAATGTCTGTTCAAATTTTGCACTTCATGTGCTTCGTAATTGAAAACAGCTACTCACAATTGCATGTGCTGCCAGAAAGTGATGTCATGAATGAGGCATGACTATGAACTTCATGGGATCATGAAGAAAATAAATGGTAAAAAACACATGATGTTAAAAGATTTTGTAGGGCTGCATTCCTAGCTGTTGTGGGCCACATGCAGCCCACAGGCCACTGGTTGAAACTGCTTGGTCTAAAGCATAGACAAAAGTGGGCATTTTTTTTTTTTTTTTTAGAAAGCAGGATTTATTGAGAGGACAGAAAAGCTCCCACAGTGGGAGGGGACCCAAAGGGGTTGCCCCAAAAGTGTGCATTTTTAAATGAAGGAGTCTAGCTATTTGGCCCAGGTTGGTCTCAAACTTCTGGGCTCCTCAAGTGATCGCCCTGCCGCAGCCATTCAAGCACCTAGGATTTCAGGCACATACCACCATTACCTCTTATGCTTGTAATTTCCTATATATATATTTTTACTGTTGATTTGAAGTGTATTCTACTTTTTTTCATAGTGGATGGGAGTTCTGGAGACTATATGATAAAGTAGGGTTTCTCAGATTTTTCAAATACAGAGAAATGCAACTAATATTTATTCAGTGTTCTACTCTGGGCTAGCAACATATTTTATGCTTGGCATTTATTACCTCATGTAGTCAGTGCACAGCTTTGCAAAATCTCTGTTCTATTTTAACCTACTCTCTACTAATTAGACAAATATGGTTGAGAGATGTTATTGATTAGTTAGCAAACAGGTGACCTATGATTTTACCATCAGGCTGCCTGTCTCTCAGATACCTTCTGTTGCCCCTCTGCATAGATTGATTATAACCCGTGTAACACTGAGAACAAGGTGCAAGTCC